TTTCACAGGTCTTACACAACCATACTAAAAAGATTTCACAATACTTAGGAATATGGCATATTCATACAGTGCCTTTCAATATGTAACCATTCAGAGGTGCTTTAAAAATAGTTAATAAATTTGCATTTCGTGCATATATTATCTTTCTAATACTGACCTTTCAAAACATCATTCCTGATACTGGATTTTATTTTATTATTATTCTTTTTTAATTAAATCTAGAGATTTATATTCATCTCTCAACAACTATTTTTAGGCATCATGAAACAAGTTCAAAAAAGGAGTGGAAAAAAGGGAAGGATTCATGTGTACACAAAGTGGGGAAAAGAGCTACAGCAGTGTGAAGGAGATATGACTACACTGAATATCAACAGGGGATTACAAAAGGTCTACATGGTTCTGTGTAAGTCACAGAGTATATAGTTCTCCTGGTTCTTTTCAATCTAATTCAGATGAGAAGTTCAAGATTCTTTGCTCTGTGACTTTTTGTTCTGAGTGTATCCCAGGCTCATTGAATGACTCATCATAATGGCATTTTGGCTTTCCACGGGTGCAATAAAAACAAAAAACAACCATATATTTCAAATCATGAAGGGGCTCACCATAAGTCCAATTAATTTAACTGCAACTGCATAACAAGGGAAAACTGTCTCCATTTGTCTGATTGTGTGAGCCAAGCATTTCATGGCACTGACACCGCATCTGTCTCCAAGGTCATTGGCACCTTAGTGTAAAGTGATTCGTCTGCAATTTGTTACACATTTTTGCTTTGCGTTTGGTGTGAAGAGGCACTAACAAATCAAACAGGAAAAAAACAAATCAAAACAAAAATCAATTTGTTGTATGTTCAGAAGATTCAGGACATAAGTGTAAAACATTAACTTTTACTATGTATTTGAATCTAATAATTGTAGCTACTAATTTGATACATTTTATTTTCTTATTTAACATTTATTGCTAGAAAATTGTGTTGGTAACTTGTATTTACCCAGATGTTCAAAATTCTGTTTGAAGATCAACATGAAGGTTAAAATGAGAAAAACTAAATAAATAAAAATAAGATTACAGTTTTGGCCTTACCTCATTTCCTTTCCCTCTGAATGATGAAATGTTTTGGGGGAAATAGTCTTTGATCATAATTATGATAAACAGATGTTTGAATGCAAAAAAAAAACCAGCAGATTGCTTGTTTGCCTCTTCTCTGAAAGACAAAGTACCTTAATTAAACTGTAAGAAACATTACTTCATGAGTGCACAAACATTATGTATATCAAGCCATAGATGTAAACAATGCATTTTGCTGTTTAGAAGAAAATAAATTGAGCCTTTAGGCTCCTGTGGCATGTTGTACATCACTATCAGTCTTTCTGAGGAATCTGCTGTCAGAATGGTATATTATACCCAAGTTTACTATTTAGAGCTAGGCTTCTGCTAAATTAATTTTTTAATATTTAAAAAGTAAAAATGAATATTTTGCTTTTTTACACAGCTGTGCATAACTGTCCATTTATTTAGTGAACAGCTCCATTATGCATTATGTCCACCTCAGCCTAACCAAAATGGCATCCCACACTCATCTTCAGACTTCTACCCCCAGAACACTGATTAGCCCTCAACCCACAGACATCCCCCTGCTCCAGATGAAAGATGGGAAAGGGCTTTTTCCACTGACTAGTAACATCCTGATGCTTCTCATCTGCCTCCGTTTTGGGTCTGGAAAAATTTGCAAGTCAGCCAGCAATGAGACACCAAATGCTCCCATTCTTTGGTCCAACACGACTTCGGACAGGGTGAAACAGGCCAGAATGATATTCTCCACAGATATCTGTATTTTTCCCATGCAAGTATGGACATTTCTGGTTAAACATTTTGAAATATACACTTTATCTTGTGCTGCTGATTATTCTAAATGACCCACTCTCTCTCAGTGACTGGAATGGAAAGTAACAAGCAAATGATTGGAACTAATTGTGATGAGAACTCTGGCTGCTTTGGCTGAGTGGTTAGCACATCTGCCTTTCCATATCCTGACAAACTTCAGCTTCTAGGGAGCATTATGTAATTTCTTGGCCTGTACATGTTTAGGTTTGAAGCCCATGGAAAAGTACTCTAAACTTTATGGAGTAGTGGCAGGTTGAAATAACAAGAACTTTCTCAGTAATGTTTAAAGTGTTGAAAATGAGATGTCTCATTATTCTCATTAGTTTTTCTTTTGCTATCACCCAACACTCTGCTGAACAATAAATACTGCTTAATAATAGTCCTGACAGGGACAGTCTGTCCTTGATTTTTTACACTTTATCTACTCTTAAAAACCTGCATATTAGGACCTTAATTATGCACATTTGACATTTGTACTACACTGTACTATATATAGTATATATACTGTATATATACAGTGGTGGCCAAAATTATCACAAACTGAGACAGACTAAATTCAGAAGAACTGTGGCAACGTCTCCAAGATGCTTCAAGAAACCTACCTGCAAAGCTACCTGAAAAACGCAAGTGCACCAAGGACAAAAGCTGCTTTAAACACAAGCGATGGTCACACCAAATGTTGATTTTTAGTTAATAGAAGTTAATTCATAAAGAAAATCTATTTATGACATTACTTTTTTACAGCATCCTGATTTTACAGCATTTTTACACAAGTGCCTAAAACTTTTAACAGAACTGTAGCTTTGCAGGTAGGTTTCTTGAAGCATCTTGGAGACGTTGCCACAGTTCTTCTGGATTTAGTCTGTCTCAGTTTGTTCTGTTTCTTCATGTCACTCCAGACAGATTGGATGATGATGAGATCAGATCTCTGTGTGCAGCACTGGCTGTTGTCAGACTCTGATCTGACTCTGACATTATACTATTTACAATATGTTGTAGGCCTAATAAGACGGTCACAACGCTTAAACCTGAAACAGACTGTTTGACGGGGCATAACTGCAGGGGCCCTGGAAAGGGCTGGTAAATTAGATTTTTCCTGTTGGGTGGGCTTCAGGTCATCTGTCCAGGCAGCACAGTTGATAATTACACTGTGTCCATGCAACTTGTGATCAAAAATAGGTCGTATGAATTACTTGGAACACCCAGACAGCTGAACAACTTCAACAAGCATAGAACGTAGATCAATAAATTAAGAATGGGATACAATCTTGGATGACAGCTAAACCCCTGCACAAAGAAAAACAATGACAATAGATATTTGTAGAAAGAAGATAAATCTTTTTCTTTTTTATCTAAGATCAAAATACTGGAACTAAAATGCACAACTACTTGGAGCCAAACGAAAAGCAGCTGCAGTTTGATTGACTGTCTTAAAAGGATTGTTTTTTAATCCTTGTGAGCTCATCTTACCACGGAGAAGAACCTAAAACATTTGCTATATGGACTGCAGTGTGATTTGTATTTGCCTTCATGTGTGCGCTAGTGTTCATGTTGGTCTGACCGCTTCCGTAGTTTACATGCAGACATAATGACAAAGCAATGTTATCCACCTCTGACTTTTTATGGACTAACAGGGCATGTGAAATACACAAAAATCAGCTAAAATTAGGGAATTCCATATGGGGCAAATTAAATGAGTCACTCTTTTAACTGCATGTGGTTGCAAGCACTGCACATTCTTTAATCACGAGCGTCTACCCCTCCCCTGAATCATCGAAAACCATTAAGTCTAAGATCTTCAAAGATTTTATAACGTTTTACACCATAAATTAGTCAGAACAAACAGCTTCTTCAGAATATACCGCTCCTGATGTCAAAGACTTCAGTTCAGCTGGTCTGCATTTATTACTGTTTGATGTAGTGCAAGGTCAATGATGATCTCAGATCATGCAACATGTCCTTTGAAGGTCTTTTTGCACTTGAGCATACAGCTTAAAATATATGATATAATATACAAGTATAAAATCAAAGGAAATCAGGCTGGCCCAAGTGATAATTAAAACAAGGTCTGCAAGTTTAACGCATTCACCTCTCAGCAGTGCTAGGTTTCAGAATACAAAGAAAGTCCTGCCAGTCTTGGTCACAAGGGAAGCACATGGGAAATGCATGTACAACCAAATTAGGCATCTGTCAACATTCCAACAATATTTTTTTTGTTTTAGAGAACAGACTAAACTGAAGTGCGCAGGATTATGTTGGAAGTCCAAAGGATTAGAAACAGAGTCTCCTTTTAAAATATTTAGAAATTAAATATGCCAAGTATAAACATAACGGTTCAGGTACTGAAGTAAAAGTTGAAGGTTTTATGCCAGATAAGAGCAAACAGTGAACTTGCCAAGTGCCAGAGAGCCAACTCTTTTCCAGTGACCTTGGGCAAGACGCTAAACCAGATATATTATAAATAATAATATCTGCCAAATCAAAAACTGGATAGGACCAGGTTGGTGCAACCTCAAAATGCAAAAAGATGCAAATGCAATATGGAAGATAAAATTCAAAGACAAACATATGGTAAAATGGATGAGGTTAACATTCTCACAGTACCATATGTACCCATTGTTTCAGCGCATATGGATCGCACTTTTATTCTCAAGTTGAAAGGATGTGACAGTGGCCAACAGCTGGTACGTTTCCTCTCCTTTTTCAAATCCACTCTGCGTGAGAAACCAAGGAGGCAGTGCAAAACATCTGAATAGCAGACAGACAGAAATGCACTGTCAACAAAACACTTGTCAGACAGTGGAAGACATCTTAAACAACTGTGCGCCTCCCAAAATAAGATGCTTTGTGCTGTCGGTTTTTTGCACTGGTAAACAATACCTTTGGCTAGGAATGACAAGGTTTTTTCCCCAGCTATCATAAACTGAACTATTCCTTCACTGCAAACTCTGCCTCATAACCGACTTTCATAAGCCAATTCTTCTATAACAAAAAAACAAAAGGAAACTATTTAGTGGTTAAAAAGATAACATTTTGTTCACTGCAACAACATAAGAGAATATTGTTTATATAGTGCATAATTGAATGCATTAAATATTGCAAGAAGAAGCCATTTTGTCTGATGTGGCAAAATTTATATGATAAAAAATTAATTACACATCTAGACAAATGTGGCGATTCTGATGAGTGATTTTGTACACCATTTGTAAAAGGAAGTCCTAACCATCATTAACAATCGTCTTTGTTAGTATGAAATTACATAAGGATCCAATTTTGACCTGTAACAACAAAACAGCACAAAAAGCCTGGACAATATGTGCATATAGTGAAGCAATTATGCTAAAAAAATATTTTACAATATTGACAGCAATGTCATACTCCAAAGTAGATGTAAAAGTTGTACAAGTAAAACAATCTGGAAACTTTTCTACATCACTGTGGCTGACAAGTTCAAGAAGCAAAACAGACAAAAGAAAGATGGTGGCTCCATCACTGAAGCAGGACAGATGAATGTGTGTGAAGTGTCCTGGACACCACAGGTTTCTTCCGTAAAACTGAGTATCTGAGAGGTGGTGAGGAAGAGGATGGAAGAGGGTGGAATGCTTATCAGTTCTCAAGAAAAGCCACGTAGTCGGTAAGTCTAGCCAGCTGTTGTTCGTTTGGAACCAGAGAGACCGGGGGCGGATCTGGAGAAAGAGGAAGGCAGAAGAGAAACATGAGAGAAAAGGGGATTCCTTCAAGTCCTCTACGATCTGCTTTATAGCACATAGACATATGAATGTAAACAAAGTCGTGCATAGAACAAGAATATGTGCGCAACAGAGTCCGTTACAGATGTAACAGCTTATGCAAGTAAGAAAAATGTCATGGCAACTGTGCTGAATTAAAAAACATCAGCTGCTTTTAGTGAAAGCTGCAGGTCATCAGTACTGGGAATCATTTCTCAATCATCAGTTATTTAAATGCATTACAGACATCTGCACTGTCTCACGAGGCCCGTACTGAAACCCAGATGCTGCTTGTTCCTGTTCCTTTGGAATAAACGTCTCTCGTAAAAACAGTTCTCAATGGTTACAGGCGAACACAAAAAGCTGTGTGCACTAAAACACACAACACAAAGAAAGATGAACATAAGGTGACCAAAAACTAATGAAATTCTCGTTGTTTACAAAATGAAGAAATCTTTAAGAAACTGTGAGAGCCAATCAGCGACAAACATGAGAGCAGGATGAAAGTGGAGTCTGAGTGAAGTCACCAATTTACGTGCTTGTTATGAAAAAAACATGCAGAACCGTTAACTCGTTGGAACAAGCTCTTTGTACAGAGGAGGGGCCCTGAATGAAACCTTATGGAGGAATGAGTCATAGAGTGGGGGGGGGAAAACATCTGTTCTTATTGGTAATAAGAAGTGAAACAGTGCCCCCACCTGGTTTCTGTGGCATGATCATCCTGGTGTTTGGATCCGCCTGCCACCCATGGCTAACTACACCTTAAAAGAAAGGGAAACAGACATTTATATTACAAAGACAATAGAAGGTTGTTCACATTTATCTCTAAACCAATGCAAGCTGCTTTTGCAGAAGATCAAGAAATCAGCACAGCCAAAGTTAATTACTTTTATTCTAATGATGACCAAATACATGTGAGAGTACTTCAAAAGAACTGCAGACTTGTTTAAATGTATTTTTTTCAAAATATGAAATACTGATTGGAATAGACAGAATAAGCAAAAAAAAAAGATTGGTTGGTATAAGAATGATTTGTACTGGAATGGAAATGTAGAAAAAAATCCATATATCAATATACATAATATTAATTATTTAATTAATAATATAATTATTTAATCCCTAAAAAAACTCAAATATTTTGCAGCACTCAGTGTCTCGGATTATGTACCTTTGACCGCCTCTTCTACAGAGTATCCCACAAAGGCAGCAAAGTCTTCTGCACTGATAGAGGTGTAAGCTTGCGCTACTAGCCCATATGCTCTCCTACGGGTGGACTCTACAAGTAACACGAAGCACAAGAGAAAAACAAAAAGATTTTAAAAAAAGGTGGTCATCTCCCAACACACCTGCAAACTCTTTCCTTTCACTCTATATTCTGCAAACTTTGCACCATGGTTGCACACACCCAAGCAAGGACAAGTAAAGAAGGTACTGGTGACAGTGAAAGTAGAATAACAAACCTTTGGAAAGTGCAATAAATCATTTTTTATGTTTCATACCAGTACAACAGTGGTCTTAAACTTTATACTGACTGCAGTTCACACCCATTTAGTTGAAAAAAAAAACAACAGCATGTAAAGTAAATAAAAGCAAATAGGTCCGTATAATGAGTGTGCTGTAGGTCTGCGTTTTAATGGTTGTTTTCTCCCCTCTTCCCACCCTCTTCACTCCCACTTTCCCACATTTCTTGAGTCTTTTTCAAATCTGAGGTGTGAACGACCAGTGCTAAAATGGGGGTTTCATGACACTTTGAATGAAAGTGACAATAAAGATGTTTGTTACAAAAAAATGTATTCATATAAAGGTTTTTTTCACTAACTATTCTTCAAATAGTTTTTTTAAAACATGTACCACGGTTGCCACAAAATAAATAATAACATATGTTTCTTGAGCACCAAATCAGAATATCGTATGATTTCTGAAGGATCATGTGACGCTCAAGACTGGAGTAATGGCTGCTGAAAATTCAGCTTTGCCATAAACTATATTTCAAAATATATTAAAATAGAAAGCAGTTATTTAAAAATGTAATAATATCTTTGCTATATTTTTAATTAAAAAAAAATGCAGCCTTAGTGTCTGTCAATGTATTTGTCACTTTTGATTACTGCAGCAGACTTTAAGTACTTCAAAAAACTTAAAGGAATTGTAAGTGTAACATTATCCATTAACCCAGGGTAACTTACAGGAAAGAAATTAAAAACAGAGTTAAATATATTGTTTTGGAAAATTACTTAGGCTATATACTCCATTATAGCAAACACAGGAGTATGCTTTGAATGCTAAAAAAATTGTAATACTCATAGCAACAGTGTTTCTAACGGCTACTTGTATGCAACAGCAGGGAAGCAACACCAGGGAAGTCAGCAGTGACTACAAGCCTGCCATTTGGAAATTACACAGACAAGAACATGTTATACAAGGATGCCCTCTACAGAAAGAAATTCAGATTGACTCAATGTGTGAAATATGTCTGGTCTTAACACCTCACAAGCAACAAATTACATTTGGAGGAGTTAAAGGGATTTTTGCATGTTGCTTGTTTATTTTTAGTGCTTGTCATTCCATACTAGACAACCTGACTCCCAGTTCCTGATTTCTCACTCGCCTTGACCTGAAATCATGAATAGCAAGAGCTGCTGAGCAAGGCAGTGCTGGGGGAGGTGAAAGTGGTGTCCATCTGTCCTATTCTGGTATTCTACCCCCAAGGTCCCCCAGCTATATCTCATCCTCTTACCTTTTAAAAATAGCATGTGCCTTTATCCAGAGAAGAAAGTTGAGGGCAAAGAGTGCACAGAGTTTACTTGTAAACAGTAACCTTTGGAGTAATTCCAAGATATTCTGTTTAAACTGCTCCTTAAATGTGTCATTTGATTTGTACTGTACATCTCATAAAATAAAATAATTTTAGAATAAATAAACTCATCTCAATAAATTTGAACATTTTATTTAATATCAAAGCATTAAGTCCACATTTGAGTAAACTAAACATACAGAACTATATAACCACATACTGTAACAACAATGTTAAGTAAAACACGTAAAAGTTGGAAGATAACTTCTAAAGTGACAACAGCAACTACATTATAAAAAGTATAAAAATGGCACCTAATTATTCTGAAATATTCTTATAATCATACAAGTTGAAATGCTGACACTGCTTAGCAGTGATATACAAACATTAAACCTTCTTCTTTCTCATTGCTATTGTCCTTGCTTGATCTTGTCCTTCATCACATCTTATTTGCCCTCTATGACACTATTCCCATTCACTCCTCTTCCTGATCTTCAGCATCTTCAAATTCTTCATCATCATCTCCTCCAAAGTCCATCTTGGTCAACAAAGTCTCCACTTGTTCTGTATCCAGAGTGAAATGGTCCATTCTTTCAAAGCCTGGCTCAGGCCTTTCTTCAGCCAATGAGCTCTTCGCCACGTCCTTTGTCTGTGCAATCAGGTTCTTGGAGGCCAGCAGGAAATCTGCAGCACCGCTTTGCTCCAGCGCCTGCACTGCCGTGTCCGTCAACTCTGTGGCTGCCTGAAGACGATCCCCATAACGCCTGGCCAGACTCCTGAGGGCAGCTATCTTCTCATCCTGCTCCTTGCTTATACGTTCCAAGAGGGCACCCTTACGCTCTTCCAAGGCTGCATACAGAGAATCGAAGCATTCACCAAGCCTTTGCTTAGCACATTGAGCATTGTCCTGAACAGCTGTGCAGGCCTCCTCCATCTGGTTAAGCAACGCTTGAAGGCGGCCATTAACTGCTACTAGAGCATCGATGGCATTACTCAGCTCTCCTTTTTGAGCCTGATAGACACTGGCAAGTGGTGACACCTCACAGTCTTTATGTTGGCCGAAGACCTTACACATGGAACAAGTGGGAATTTGGTGAGTCACACAGTAGATGTTGATCTTCTCGTCCTCGTGCTCTTGGCACATTGGTTCTTTAGAGCTTTTGGGTTTGATCGGCGTTTCTGTGGTGCTGCCACCACCTCCACCTTCCTGCTGCTGTTTGTATATGTCAATTATGTTCTCAACTAGAAGATTTCTCTGAAGTCCATGCACGCCATGACGATCAAGAACCACTTCAAAACGGCAAGTAGGGCACCGGAAGACACCACCAGAGAAACGATAAGGGTTTCGAGAGTCATAAAGATCACTAGCACATCCACGGCACAGGTTATGCTGACAGGGCAGTATCACCACCGGTTTGGTGAACATGTCCAGACAAATCGGGCAGCTTAGTTGTTTCTCAAGGCTCTCCATGGAGTCAGGAGACCCCAACAAAGAGGAAGTTCGCTGAATGTCCATGTTAATGGTCGCTTTGTAGCCTTTTGCTGTATAACTTCAATGGCTGTCTTCCCAAAAAAAGTTTAAAATAAGCTGTGGCATGGCAGTAAATGATTCCTTGCAGTTGTCAGATCTGTTCTGGGGCAAAGTGGCCCTGGTCTTTATACTACCCTCGGCCAGTGGATGACATGCCATTCCTCCAACCAATCAGAGCACACATTCCTATCCACTTGTTTTCAAGATTCATTTTTGGAGAAGCAAAAGCCCCCACCCCTTTAAAGCCAGGTGTTGTGTCATGAGGATACCATTACACCCCTACCCTTTCCTGTACAGTGAAATTTCAATGTTGAAATATTGGAGGGGTGACAAACAAGTTTCATGTCAAGAAAACAAATCCTGTCCGTTACAAAACACCCTCTGAAATTTTATTGCTAATTTCTGTCGTGCACAGAATAATTATGATATTTTTTACAAGAAAACACTAAATTGGGCACTAAGCAGTCTATTTTGACTTGTCACCTTAAATAAATGACAAATAACAACAAAAAAATAATATACATTCACCTACACCATTCTTTTTTCCCCCTTGTATTCAGAGGATATTATATTTCATTTTGAGGAACAACCCACAAATCACTCTAAATGTTTGATTTTTCAAAATAAATTATTGTTCAAATATTCTTGAGTAATTTGCTTGTAAAAAAACAACTGTTGATGTCTTAAAACACAGTACATAGGGAACCCATGGACACATGGAAAGGGTTATTTTTAACCTATCCTTGGCCTGGGTGGGTCAGGTGCTGGCACATGGGGGATCAAATGAAGGCTGTGTTTAAGCATGATCCCTGAAGATACTATATTAAATACGGACAAGAGATTGCAAAAGAATTGTTGCCATCTTACTTTTTTAACAAGAAAATGACAAAGTATTGATAAAGTAACTTCAGTCTTTAATTGTCCCTGCAAACAGTCATCATTCAAAGGACTCACACTTGGCCTGTGAATATGCTAAGTTAATGCCTGAGCTAAGTTTAGTCCTGAACCACTTCAAATGGAATCTGGTAGCAAAATAAGTGCCACTTCCCAGGATAAATTTAAATTTTTTCTTACACATCCATCCACATTCAATAGTGACTAAACACATTTTGATCCTTGTAAAAGAGAAAGCTAATAATCACACAGAACCACACATAACATGTCATGTACAAAGTATAAAAAAATCAAAATCTGACAGTAATTAACTTGAAGTAGAGGTAGATTGACAACAGTGAATTCTGCCAGGAAATATAAAACCAATTTTTATTCTCTCTCTCTCACTACAAAAATTCCAATCAAATCAATCTAGCCATGTATTTAATTATAAAGACAAAGAACACAGGCATGGAAGTGCACAGAACATTCTATCCTGTTACATTGTCTGAATCGGTCTAGGAATTTGTTTGGCAATGCTAAGCGCATAATTAGATCTCTCCTTTACCCCATACTGACATTTGTTGGAAACACAGCTGATTGTTTTATATCAACATATAAATAACATCAACAAATGCTAGAAATTAATGCTTTTATTCCACTACTCTGCCAAGCATGGCGACCCTACCATCTCTTAAATGCCAGATCATACCGAGGAGGAGGATGTGTAATTAAAAAGATAAGAAGAACCACAGAGCAGACAAAAATGTCAAGGTCATTCTATGCCACTTCATTATAAATTTCATTTTAGGAATAGAAAATAAAATACAGCATAAACCCCAAACCACATGATCTCAGTACCTCTTAAAGCTTCCATCACAGGGAGAATGCCTTCAGACCACTGGTAAGCATCAATAGCTGTGTAGATCCCTGGAAAATCTCGCTGCCAGATACGTTGTCCTACGGCCCATATAGCAGCCAGCTCTGGGTTTGCCTGTAATTAAAATCTGTATCAGAGACTTGAAATTGATTTAGCTTTATGTTAAGACTAATTGGATCCAAATGTAAAACTCACTGTTTTGATTGCCTGTGGTATCCGTTTCCAAAGGTATCTGGCATTATGCCTGCATAAAGCAAATTAATGTTATGAGAGAATCAACTAATATAAATATGAATCAACATTAAATATGTAACATACTCACAAGTCATTGTGCAGGAGATACAGGACTAGTAACTGGGAATACACTTGAGGCGTAGCAATGCCACCAGGAGCCTAGGATACAAGATAAATGATGAATATTAAATACATTAATATGACAACTTACATATAAACTGCCAGACAAACATGCCTGTTATACAATAATAGTTAACCACGTGCAAAGAAAATTATTTTATTACTACACACAAAACTTCATAAACACTTACACATAAGTTATATTCCGCAATAACAACAATAAATTTATATTTATTTTATCTTATATTTGTGCCTAGAGTTGTCTTTACATGACTAGTGTTGTTCAGCTGACAACCAAGTTACTGTAGCAGTTTACCAGATAACAAACATCTGCGGAATAAAAGCATTAATATATAAATCTCTCCGTCTGCTTTACCTCCAGCTCTTGAGTTTCAAACTGCAACAGCAGCTTTTCATCAAATTCAGCCATCATGACAGACACGGGCATCTTTTACAAGAGCTTCATATGCTAACGGCTAAGGAAAACAAACCCGCTCCTGCTCTGGCTCTGCGACTCCTCACTGACACCTGCTGGACTGGAGAGCAAACGACGCCACTACCCACTCCCAGAATCGTGGAATAGTTGACCTATTACCTATTATTTTGGATGCTATAGCTGGAAAACAAAAATGTGGGAAGGTACTGGAGACTAGTTTGAATCCTATTTAGCACGGAGGTTAAAGAGTTGCTCTTTCAGAGACCCATTTGTGTGTTCTGTTAAAGCAGTACAGGACAGATTAGAGGCTTACAGTAGCTCTGTGAACTGCTCTTCTCAGAACAGCATAATATTGTTGACTTGATTGACTGTTCTGATACTGCTGGCCAGCTGCTCACCAGGTTTATGTCTAGTGAGAAGAGCATGTCCACAGATCCTCTCTCGCTGTCTATAATCCATCACTCATAGCACTGTATTTAGAAACACGTCTCCTAAATCAGATCCTTACTGTGAAATCTATGCTTACACATGGAGAAGTTTGTAAATGTAAGACTTTCTGAAGTCGCACAAAATTAAAATAGGTTGTATTGCGAGTGTGATACAAAATTTACAATTTATTAGTACACTGTTTTTTGTTGCTCCACTCTGGTAGATTTCACTGTGGGTGTGCACGTTGTAAATGCTCACGCCAGTCTTATAAACATTTAGATCGACTTACAGTTGGACCTGTCTATATTTAGATGTAACCACAGAGAACAACAACAGATGTGCCACATATGAAACTTATTACAGTCTCAGACTTAGTGTGAAAGAGGAAAACCCTACTGAGAGTGTTACCAAACAATGTCAGGCGACATTGTATTAGATTACCCTGTTGAATCAGAATTTGTCAAGGCTCTTAAAGAAGCACAAAGTAAGGAGGACTCTACATGTGTGCAGACCCTTCTCACAGAGACAAGCAAAGAAAATCCAAATATCATCATAGAGTTGTCAAATGATGATTGGATGAAAGACCCTGATGTTGAGCTCCCCCCAGCGGTACTGTTGGGTAAGTACAACACAAACATGCCTTAATTGATGCTGGAAAATGTATGATTAAATGCACACTGTTGAAGTTTTACTAGAGTTTGGTTTTCACACTTAATTGCAGAATTAGCATATTTTTAATCCCATCAATCAACGCCGCTTCAAAAATTATTTTACATTTTTATTTAAAAATTAAAAGTATTTTGTATAGAACCCTGCTGGAAAAAAACAGCTAAATCCAGCCTAAGATGCTGGAAGTTGCTGGTTTTAGCTGGTCTCCCAGCCTGGCCAAGCTGGTTTTAGCTGGTTGGCCACCTTTCCCAGCCTGACCAGCTAAAGAAGTGGTCAAAAACCCTCAAAAACCAGCCTACTGACCAGCTATGACCAGCTAAAACCAGCCAACCAGGGTTAGGCTGGTTTTAGCTGGGGTTTTTTTCAGCAGGGAACCCCTTTCATGTGTGTAATTGTTACAGCTCCCAGCATTTCTCCCAGTCTGTAGACCTTCTGAAATACTAAACAGGGTTTTCAGTTCTTTTTGTAATACACATTGTGAAAAAATATGCGGCAAACAAAAATGCAATATAAAGTTCCCTTCAACCAAAGCTAAAACTGAGAAGCTAAAGTTCTAAAGCTAAAGTTTATTGTCTCTCCCACATTGTAAAATATAAAGCAACAAACCATTAACTTGAATTTGTCCTCATTGCTTCAACATATTTGATGGTACATAAGTACAGCCATTAAATACTCAGGTATGTCATCAGCTCATTGCCAGATATTTTAAATTCAGCAGCCCATGTTTATGGTTACATGTGAGGTCACATGAAAGTGCAGCTAATGACATCTTTCACATGCAACTACACAGCTGCATAAGAAATGCATATAATAGCAATAAGAACCCTTAAAGCCCTATGTATAACAAATTGTTTTGACTTAATTCCAGTGATCAGCACAGTTAATGTTAAATAAACTAAATAGTCTGCATCAATGAGAAACTGATACCCTTTCACTTCTCAATGGAATTACAGTTGACAGCTCAGGGCACTTTTGGAATTAAGGTCACAACGTAAAACACCAGTGAGGATCAGATTCCCGGTCAGCTGTGATTGGAGGACAATGCCGTCGCACCTCATGATTTGTTGAAATGGAGAGTTTGATTCTATTCTTGGCTTGTGCAGTGGTGATATCATCAGCAATGCCTTCCATTCAGCTGTGCATCTGGCATATTTATCGAACTGTCCTCTCTGGCCTCTGTGTTGTTGATGAAAACAATGATCAAGGCCCCCTTGTCATGCAATTACCCTGCTGATCACATGTCATTTGTACTAAAAGTACAAGATATAGAGCAACAGAGATTATATAAATAGCCATAAAATCAGACAGGTAAGAAGTGGAAAGGATTGTCAATATTAGCCATGCTCTCCCAAGGCAGTGGGGCGTGTGTTGTCAATCGAAAGGCCACATTCTTGACAGAGAGAAGGCGGTCGTCTTTAGACAGCAGTCAGGGTGTCAGGAAAGAAAAGACCAAGGGTTATAAACAACCAGGGATGGACTTCCTTTGTCCCCCTGTTCTCAATGACATTCTAACCCACCACTGGAGAGACATGCAGGATGGATTCTCTGATCCAGAGCAACTGAACAAAGTTCTTGAATTTCAGAGCGATGAACTGCTGTGGACTGCTCAGAAATGGGGTGAGTCAGATTTGATGAATAGGACTGAGATTTATAATGAAACATTGAGTGTCTAATGTTATTTTAGGGAAGACAATGATTTATATATATATATATATATATATATATATTTCAGCATCAAGTTGGTCTGAAGCCTGCAGAAACGTGTACATTAATGTTTGTGCATTCAAAATGTTCCAGAGAGGACTTTTTTAAAGTATAAACTAAAACCTAATAAAATTATAAAATTCAGTTATACTCCTATATATATTCATATCAGGTATGTTCTTGAGCTTCAATATCCTGTTGAAATGCAGCATATGTTGTGCATCTGTTGTGAATAACACCAACATATGTTGAAATTTGTATTCTGGTTCCCAGAATGGGATACAGCTTACCTGGTGCACTTAACAGGCTTCTAAAATAGCTTAACCAGAGAGCTCTGCTGGTCTACTGCTTGTTCTGTGCTGGACTACTTGGTGGACCAGCAAAACCATGTTGTTCACCAGCAAATGTTAGTCAGCTAGTTTGGTCTCTCTGATAAAGCTGGTATTATTATACTAATATTAAAGGGGTAGTTCTCCCCACAAAGGAACATTATGTCATCCTTTACTCATCCTCATGTTATTCTAAACCAGCGACAGCCTTCCGTGCCATACCCTGGTTCTTCATTGGGTTTCAACTGAGGGGGATCCCCCCCACCCTCCCCTGGAATGCCTAGCTGTACCCTAGGGTTTTATGAAATGCCACCACCGCCCCAAACCCATTAAACAAAACCCACACTACTTGGTTGAGACATGCTTTTACTCACATATAAATATAGTATGTTCCATAGATGTTACAGGTTTTTCATGGAACCATAGATGCCATATAAAGAGCCCACATTGTATATTGAGCACATCACATATGCTGAAGCTCAATCAAATATGAATTAAAGTTTTATGGGTTTGGATTGGAATGACATAAGGGTATGTATGACAGAATTTTCATTTTTGGGTGAACTATCCTTTTAACACATAGTTTATAAATGTCATTATCACATTTTCATTATCACAGAATATACAATCAGATTTAACTGTTTTGGTAATGACGTGCTGTAAGTTGGATATCGTCTGGATATGTATATGACATATATGAGTCATACTGTAATCCAGGCTTTTACCACGGACACCGTGTCTGCTAGTAAACACCCCTCACATTCCCTGCACTCCCTTTTGATGAGACAGGCATCTTACATGAGACACAATGACATACTGAAGCTTTTCATGCAAGTATAACAAAGCTTGTGTCTTCTAAAATAGACTAGATGTGCCATGCTCTACAAGTCCTTTATCACTTAACTCACAGCATTGTGCGTCATACTATCTGTGTGTGAATGCAGCATTACTGTGATGAGGAATCTGTGTGGAGTTGACACAAGATTTCTAAGGGATTGTGGTAATCTTCTGTGCATATGAATGCCATGCACGGGTCAATACTCAAGAGCCCTGATGCGAGTTGCTGTTTGGGTCTGTCTCCATGCAACACCCCTACGACTCATTCTGCAGATTCCAGTAAAGATTTTCCTGGTGTGCCCGTGAAATGAGTGATCTCATACAACCAAGGGTTTTTTGCCATTGCAATTAAACTCTCCGCTTCTATTGTAAATATTTAACGTGTGACACTGCAGCCACTTTTTAGCATACATGTAAGTAGCATATAAAATCTGATCCGTTTAACAATGGAGCTTGTCTTAAATGGCCCTGAAAGACAAGTCTATTATTCAAATAAAACAAAAGGCAACAAATAGGCATAGATGGCAGAAGCTCAAAGGATTTAGCATCTATCTCATACATCAACAACTAAAAATGGCCCCAGTAAGCTATGACCAACTGATGGAGAACAATGGCTTACTAAAAATAGAGGCAAAAAGTGCTTGAAGCCATAGGAAAACATGACTAGCACTATATAAACTCAAGTCCTTGAAAGCCTAAGCCATTTGAAAAGGTAAGAGGATGCTAAGAACTATGCGCTTTGAGAACCTCTGTTCCACCGTGCAGCTGAATGGATGGCAGGCTCTGCTGGATGATGACTGTGAGTTAGGACAGGATCATTGGGAAAGAGCTCATTTACGCTCCTTATGGCTCTATAGAGCTTTAGTGAAGGGAGACACAAGAGGGCTTCGTAACCTCCTCAAAAGGAACTATATTGATGTTGATGTGTTTTACAATGTGAGCCGTGAGGAACTTGAGTGGCAAGCTCACACAGACACCAACTTTGGACCCTCAGGTAAAAACAGTCATTTGTGGGATAGAAACTTTGGAGGTGAATCAAAAAGATTGTTCGTTTTTTGTGCTGTACCGATGAATGAAATAAAGATTGAGTTTATTCTCTGATAACAGAGAAGAAGCGAAAACTGTATGTTGCTGCTGTGGACAATTTTGATTAGATTTATATATTTAGATGCATTTTTATATATATTTATTTTTCTTTTATTGAGCATTTTAACTATTATTTTTAGACTTTTTTTGTACTATTTCTACTTTCAATATTTTAATTTATTACTATTTTTAACCAATTAGCAGAAGTTACTGTTATTTTAGTAAAATTTTTAGAGTATAATCTATTCTGAAAAACATTTATCTAATTTCTAAATGCCTAAATGGTTTGACATACACTACCATTCAATAGTTTTGGGTCAGTAAGATTTTTCTTATTATTATAAAATGGATAGTTCCGGTCCTTGATTCTGATTGTCTGAGCCACGTTTGAAGCTGTTGTAAATTACTCTACAAAGATACACCTTTGTTTACATTTGTCTGTTGCTTAGCAACCACTTTGTTGCAACCACAACTGATTCTGAGGAACTACATTGTTTGGTGGAAGACTACTGTTTTTATTAATATCATTACACTTTATTTGCTCTGTTTTATTTTGTGAAACCGTACTATGTACATGGAATAACCGTTTTATAAAAGCAATAAGCCCCGTGAAGCCGTGGTTTACAGTGAATTTATAACAGCTAAGGGGGGTTACATTCTAACAATGCCCCTTAGCTGTTATAAATTCACTGTAAACCATGGCTTCTTGGGGCTTATTGCTTTATTATCACTGTTGAAAACAGTTGTGCCGCTCAAACTTTTTGTGGATTCCTTAATGCCGTTTTCATAAAAGTACCACAAAAGTTCAAAAGAACAGTATTTGTTTCAAGTAGATGAAAAAAAAACATCTAAAAAGTCTCGACTCTCACTTTTCATCACTTTAATGCATTCTTTCTGAATTACAGTGTTAATTCCTTTCAAAAAAAAAATCTAACTAACCCCAGACCTTTGAACAGTAATATATGTATTTTTAAAAAAGTATAATTTTGATGTGTTTTCTATAAGATTCATTCAATTATTCAAACACATCATTTGTGACAGTCTGACACCTACAGTATTTCCCATTCCAGGTCTTTGGTCTTTGGAGTATAAAAGAGAACTGACAAGCCCACTGTGTATTGCTGCCGCACAAGGTTTCTCTGAATGTCTGCAATATTTACTGGAACATGGCGCACATCCCAACCTTATCGCAGGAGGAAAAGCAGCACTTCATGAGGCCTGTGCAAACGTCAACACTGAATGTGTAGAGCTGCTGCTGGAACATGGAGCTAATCCTAACCAGATGACAGACGAGGGACTGACTGCCTTGCATCTCTGCAGAACACCACAATCACTACGGTATCATCATATGAATATGATACATAATACACTATATATCATTACACCTTATAATAAACATAATCATAGGTATCATTTAAAAGTGTTTGTAAAAATATAAATATAATAGTCAAATATGTCATTATACACTAGTACAAACTAATATGAAATCCATACTAATATAATATTAATAATATTTAATCTCTTTAAGTTGTGCAAAAGCCTTGGTGAGATATGGTGCCAAAGTGAACTCACCCAGTGAAGAAGAGGATGAAACACCACTGCATGTGGCATCTAGACATGGTCTGCCCCACCATGCACAGTTGTACCTACGATTCGGAGCCTGTGTGAACCATAGCAGCTCTTCGGGTGAAACGCCACTGGGGGTGGTTTGTGGAGTTGCCCCAGAAAAGACAGACGACAGCCAAGATGAACAATACCTCGAGATCTGTCGTCTCCTCCTGGCCTATGGAGCTAAGATTAATTTGTCTGATAAAGAACGCCGCAGTCCTCTACACAAGGCTGCCCGCAATGTTCAGCTTAAGTTGGTGGAGCTTCTCTTGGATCATGGGGCTGATATCAACGCCATTGACTATAACGGATGTTCACCGTTATCGAGTGTTCTACAAAGCTCTGTGGTTCGGCAAGGGTGGGAACCTCACAGGGTTGTTCAGACCTTGTTAAATCGGGGCTCTATTAAAGTCTGGCCACAAGCACTGCTGAAGGTGAACACTAAGATAATAGCCCTGAGTTTTATTCTATACATTAAACAAAAAAAGGCTGATTTAAAGTCTCTTAATTTGCTGATATCTTATTCATCTTTCTTTTATCTGATTTTTGGTGTGATCACTTAAATCAATGATTTTAATTTGTATTTTTTGGTTTTAAGGTATTAACAGCCTGCGCAGAGGCACCTAAAACTGTGGAAATCCTGTTTAACTCGTACACACTTGTTCCTGTGACCTCCAAATGGGTTGAGGCTATACCTGAGGATATTTTTCATGTAAGTCTTTCATCATTTTACAAGGGTTTTTGCATTCGTTACAAGACGAACCCTTTGGAAACATGATTCACATGTAGAATAAATGTTTCAAAAATAGTGTAGCAAAACAATGCTAAAAGGTTTTAATTTTGGAATGAGTCAATGCATGCTGATGCTGTTGGTATTATTGTACCATATTAATACACAAATTATTTTTTTATTTATTTTTTTTTAGCTTCACATAACCTTTTATGAGTCTCTCTTTGCACTGGAGTATAAACCACGTAGTTTGCAGCATCTGTGTCGGTCTGCACTGAGGAAACAGTTTGGGAAAAACTGCTGCTCACTCATTCCCAGGCTCCCCGTACCAAAGCCACTTGAACAGTATCTTCTTTTGGAACCGGAGGGGTACATTGACTAGCTAGAATCAGACCTTTTGGCAGAAACCCTTAGGGAAGGGAACCTTAAGGGGGTTTAATGCAAGAAATGTAACACTCTGACAAAGATGACTGCCGTACGTTTCACTTGCAAAGTCACCATACAGTGACATTTTTAGAGATTGTATTTTTCCACCTGTTCTCATATAAATAATCTAATATATTCGTGTAAATAGCTTTCCAAAATATTTGATTGTTTGAATGACAGCATGTTGCAGTTGCAGCTCAATTAACGTTTAATGCATATTATTTCATTAAGAAATAATTTTGTCTGTCAATAAAATATATTTTGTCAAGTCTGACTGCCATTTCTTTCTTTATTTCTCCAGTGTACAGTGTGTTATATGTAAGCGTTGGTACTCAGAATACAGCTATAGCAATGGGTTTGTAGAAATAAGTAATCGAAAGAAAGAGATACTGACATCAGCCTCAATGCATGAAATTTGATTACATCATCAACGCTGATTGTGTGGACCTGTGAATTACACTTGTTTTGATGTAGTAAGTTGACTTTAGCACTAAATAAACGTTATTTATTTGTTTGTTGTTATTAAGTAATTAAATGTCTGGTCAGTTGATGTTAACATGGCGGCCATGAGAGGGCGACCTGCTCCATGTGGAATATTTGTTTATTTTAATTTTATTTTTTTAAGAAAGGATTTTATCTCACGTGAGTGTAGCCTACATTACTTTAATTATATCTCAACAGTATCCTACTAAATCTCGTATTGTGTAAATCTTTTTGTAAAATAACCTAATTAAACACTGCGCCTATATTATTAATCCTTTCATAATACAAGAGATTTAGCTAAAGAATTCTCTCTCTCTCTCTCTCTCTCTAATTCCTAATTTCTACATTCCACAGACTGGGTTCACATTATGTTCGTCTCTTGGTCAAAAAGTGCGTACTCGCTTTAACTGCGCTGGGCCACCTGGGAGCGGTAAACGCACCGCTATTGAAGTGAATGAACGGCGGTGACGCACAAGCTTCACGAACGAATCGGATCAGACAGACTCTCGCGCGTCTTGTCACTATTACCTGTGCCTGTCACCGTTACTGGAGTCGATTGTTTATCCAAGCTTTAACGAGTTTCGTCGCCTTTATTTTTTGCAGTGTACGTGAGCGTTAAAGTGCAGAAGAGAAAACGGGAGGCATGTGAAGTTACTGTCACTTTCACCAGAGATGAAGAATTCAGTTGAAGATGAGTGCGCTGATTCGGGAGCGGAGACCGGAGCGTGAGTAATGATAAACAGGCTTGTTTTAACAAAGAAAATGAAATAGGCTACATAGGACAGGGAATATAGCTATAATGCACTAATGAGGATAGACACCAATATGCTACAAATATCAACGCGCTAATAAGAATCTGATTCATTTAAAGTGAGTCATTTGATGAGGATTCTGATACCTGAGCAGCGTAGGACAGGTCATCAAAAACCATTAGACAGCGCACTTGTTTGAAGTTTTCTCGTTTAGTTTCTACCTCGTTTGGCCCGTTTTATTTAACCGTCTGTTGTTTGGTATTAACACCCAAGACATCTGGCGCAGAGATTTACTGCTGAAAAGTAGCTGGAAAGCCAATGAGCTGAGCTATTAGTGCATGCTGCTTAGGCTTTTTAGCACAAGAGAGTGACAGAAGTAGCCAATATGCTAATCACATAGATTTAACTCTCTATTATCTCAAAGTCATGTGTGATCTGTACCATCATTCTGTGATTTCAGCTGTGAACCATGAAAAGATGCATCCTGGTTTGTTTATAGGTATGTCATATCATAATGGCTGTCCTGTCTTGTTGGTGTAGGTATGGTGATTTAGTAGGATGGTAGACTACCCTCTCTATCCTCTACCACCTGTTTTTATGGTATATATCTGTATATCTACTTTAGAATATTATTTCTTTACATTTGTTCTGAAGAAAATGGCCTTGGTACCTTTCTAAGGCTGATGATACACGGGGCAACTTTTTTTGAGCAATGTTGCTTGGGCACTTTTCCATTAAGAATGGGTAACATATTTCTATCTGGATATTTTAGATCGGTCGTGGGCTCTTTGTCTCACCTTGTTGCCCATTGATGGCAACATTTCCCAAAGTTGCCCAGCAACATTGCTCAAAAATGTGCCCAGTGTATCATCAGCCTAATGACTAACTCTTCAATTAGCTGATGCATTTATCCAAAGCCACATACAGTAAAACCTTGAGCAACCTGGGGTGTAAGCTCAAATGGTGATAGCTTATCCCTTGTTGAGTTTGAACTACAACCTGTAATCTGACCACGTTTAACCACTAAGATACATCATCTAGTACCTTTAAACTTGACTTCAAAATGTACGAAACCATCTTAGAAATTCATCTGACCCAAAAATGTGTTATGTGTTGATCCTGTAATTATAATATGAAGGACTTATTGTTCCTATGTAAATATATTGAATATCTTACAAGCTTATTTGATTAGCCACTTACGAAAAAAAAATAATAATAAATCTTGTAAATGTCAGATTTGGTTGTGATGTGGCTGTCTTGGTGCTAAATGAGAGCTAATAGATGTGTGTGGCTTATATCCTCATTTAGTTAATTTAACAACAGTAACTGTAAACTTCACTGATGGCAGTAAATCAGAAACTTTCAAAAAGGATGTTTTCTAATGATGCTTGAGAGTGCATTGTTTAAGTGTGAACAACATGCAGAAAACTATACAGCCCTCACTGATTCAGGAATAGCAAACATAAAACATATGAGATTCACTGTAATGACATTACTGACCACATTTATAGACTGTTATAATGATTTTATTTGTATTAAGTATTACACAGAAGCACATAAAAGTGCTTTTGCTGTTAAATGCAAAGTATAGACCATAGTATTTACACTCTGTTCAAAAGTTTGGGGTTGTGCTTCTTTATATATTTGTAGAAAAGTTGATTCATTCAAGATTCTTTGATAAGTTGAAATGAACAGCATTTATTTGAAATAGAAATCAGTTGTAACATTACAATTGCCTTTAGCGTCACTTTTGATCAATTTAAGGTGTGTCATTGCTGAATAAAATTTTTCCAAAAATAAATAAATATTACTGATCCCAAACTTGTAAACAGAAGTGTTGAACCAATGCACCACATACCAGTTCAGACCATACTATTACAGCATTAAATTAGAACATTCAAATTTCAAGTTTAACTACATGGAATTTCCCTGTTCTTAAAAAGAATTTAATACCCTGTTACACTGTTTTCACTACCAGAGAAACAGGAAAAAGACAGAGGGAGAGGAAAGGGAAAAAGATTGACCAGAGAGCGATAAAAGGGGAAAAAAGCATGTACAATGAAAACAAAATGACTAGGTCACTATGTAAGGCATATGAAATATGTCAAATAGGTCTTATACTTTGTTTTTTACCTTCCTCATCAACCGATGAGCTGAGAGAATAGAAGGTTTCTGACACAAAGCAGCAAGACACAATATTTGATCATAACCTATAGATATATACACTCTTAAAAATAAAGGTGCTTCAAAAGGTTCTTCACAGCGATGCCATAGAAGAACCATTTTGGGTTCCACAAAGAACCATTCAGTCAAAGGTTCTTTAAAGAACCACCTCTTTCTTACCTTTGTGTAATCTGAAGAACCTTCTTTCGCCACAAAGAACCTTTTGTGAAACAGAAAGGTTCTTCAGATATTAAAGGTTCTTTATGGAACCATTTAGACAAAAAGGTTCTTCTATGGCATCGTGAAGAACCTTTATTTTTAAGAGTGTATGTGCGTAATACACTAGAGACATTACTACACACTAACACACACACACTATATACCATGACACCCAGGATTGTTTATCCAGATGTAGGACCTTCCTTTGAAACCTTGGGATCCTAAATCTCTCTAACAAAAGTATTTCGTTGTTTCTCTCTTCCCTTTCTGTCATTCACTCTCTTCTCAGGTCTGACTACAGTCTTGTGTCATCAGCAAGCAGTGAGTACATGCCATTTGTTTTTTATATTCCCCTTTATGCAGTTCAGATCAATTTTCCAACAAAACATACCTTAATCAAACACATATTCGCCATATGTTATGTCCTTTAAATCCCATTTCCTCTTCCACCTTGTGCTCATTGGGGGGTTTATAAGAGACTATTCTTTCTAAAGCTGCTTTTGGATTCATTTGTATTTTGAAAAGAACATTACAATTTAGAAGTGGAAGATTTCTGTCAGTTAAAACACTTGACAATTGTTGCCATGACAGTGAGATTAGTTTGTTCAGAGAATCACTGCTTGAAGTGCTTCGAGAGCTCTAACACCTCTGCTTGTTTGTGTGTGAGTGCCTGCTTGTGTGTGTGTCTGGGGCTGACCTTTCCCCGTGGCTGTGTCGGGCCCAGTCTGTTTCCCTATGGAGGGATTAATGTCCAATATTAGCCCATTAATCTGGGGAGCAGGAAACACTCCTCCCGGTGACAGTGCAGGAAGCACTCTCTCACTCACCCACTCACATTTAGACACACTCACCTACTCACACACACACACACTAAAACTTAGAGCCCATCAAGGACACCACATAATAGACTGTGTATAATTTATTGAATGAAGAAAAGTGGTTCAATGTGGACTCAGGGACAGAAAATGTAGAAAACAGAATGAGATGGTTTGAGGAATAATGTGAGATGTGGAGAACTAGTGGGGCTGGAGAAGAATTAAATGCTTAAATTAGCATTTGTTTAATCTGTTCTCACATATGAAAAAAATAAATAATTTGATGACAGGGACCAGGGTGCATTTACAGTAGAATATTCAACAATTTTGAAACAAAATAAATGTATTTATTGAATAATATGTATTTTTATTTTATCCTGCTTATAGACATAGAAAGGGAGTTCTTTAGAGTTTATACTGTCTTATTTTATATTCCATTGTCTTTTCTTTGTCTGAGCACCTTTGCATGGATGAGAGATCTGTTTTTCACTTTTTCCACCACATTTCCCCTTATTGTTTCTGCATTCTGTCTCTTTTTTAATGGTATGACAGTATGCTTTCTTGAAAGACTGCCATGAATAACTGCTTAATGCTGCATCATCAGTCATGTCAGCATTTCGCCACCTCTGCAGCTCATCAGATTTTCTCTGTATCCATACTTTCCTCTATATATCTTTGTTCACTAACAACTCAAGTGCATATTCTGTGAAATCTGTTTCGCCTCTTTATAACTCTGGACACTTTACTACACTGAAAAAAATGTGCTTCATGTGGTAACATTTAAATAAATTTTAAGTCACAAATCAACCTAAAACCATTATGTCACACCAACAAATCGTTAGATCAGAGAGAAATAGCCACTTAAAGTAACAATTGCAGGTTTTTACAGTGTTAGAATGACACCAGATAGGAGTGTATATTAGGGATGGTTAAGCTGGGGCTAAATACGGTGTCTTATTTAATGTTAGTTGCTTAAGTCTCAAACAGCCAGATTACATTCCATTACAGACTCAACTAAGATTACAGATGGTTTAAAGTGATCGAGGCTTCTTGAATCTAAACTAACATTTAAAAATACATTATATTTTACTTTAACATTTCCTTTGAGTGAAATCTATCAAATAATGTGATTAAGTTCAGTATCTGTGGTTTCTCCTCATAATTGCATCAGTAATAATTCAAATGATGCTGTTTCCTATAAATAGAGTCCTGTAAACAGTGTCTGAATAAACCATGTGTCTGCGGGGCAAAGTGCCCTAACATTCACATTTAATTTCTTCCAGCTGAAAGCTTTTGGTAATTAAAACATTAATAACTGGATCACATTAGGTCTATTGTAAGGCTGTCTGCATATGTAATACTGTACAATAGAGAATGTATTGTGTGTTTTTAAGTCTGAACAAGTACCTTTGCCTAGTGAACACACTGCTTGGTTTTTCCACACTGATCGATTGAAAGGATCCTTCAATGAACTCAGATGTGCGTCAGTTACACCTACAAGAGTGCAGTGCAACTAGAGAAGAGTGTTTACTTGCGTGAGTGTGTTTTTGTGTGTAAGTGTGTAAGAGCATAGCGTTCCCTCGGCCTCTGGTGCCACCAACCTTAAACAACAAACAAAGTGGGACGGGTCCCATGAGTCAGGAGAGTTTGGGGTGAAAAAAAAGAGTAGGCGAAAAGAAAGAGGCAGCTGTCCATGTTCTGCCACTTTCTGCTATATTAGTTTTTTTTTTGAGAATGAGAATAGCTGCACAATATTTCTCATAATATAATAACAACACAAAGATTTTTGCTGCTGTTGTCGCTAGATTATGGCAGAGAGATGAATATATCAAAGAGGGGGTTTGAAGGGCTTGTTATGTTATGCAGCATTACTCATATAATGTAGAGGCATCATGTGTTTTCACACGTCATATAAATACAATCATTTATGAAATTTTTTAATTGCTGCTCTTGTTGATCTCATTTTGCAGTCATAAAACGTCACATTTGCCTTGAACACTTTGTTAAGGGGGTCTTTCATGTACTTTTGTGCTCAGGGATATTTGTGCGTGTGTGTGTGTGTGTGTGTGTGTGTGTGTGTGTGTGTGTGCGCACTCAGGGCTCACTATGGTCAAAGGTTCAGTGGAAGGGCAAACCTTATTCAGAAATCCTACAGGGAGCCAAAGCATTTCTCCAGGGTTACTAACCATCCACTAATGCAACTAATGAGGCTGCACTGTTCACTATACAGCCTGATTACAGAACAGGAGCGCATGGATGAAAAGATTTCATTCAGTCTTGAGAGCCAATCCATTTTCTCTATTTCGTACTGTGCTTTCCTTTATAGACGTTCAAAGCAAAGTAGGTTTCCAGTGACTCCTGATGCCAGAATAAAGCAGAACATGTAACACACTAATACACCTAATACAAATAAAGGGTAGAACTAAGTGTGTTTGTTTTTTACTGGAATGTAGAACTTTATTTTCCTGTGAAACTTCTCTCTTGTAACATATCCAGACTTCTCCACTCATTAAGCCAGCTCTTCCACCCCTTTCTTACAATCCACCACAAGCTTGCGTTCAGATCTCCCTCCATCCAATCCCATCCCAACCATACATTTTTTTCTATTTTGATAATCTGTTTCACTTTTATATTTTTCACTAAAACGAAAAAGAGATCTTCTTGCTACTTCTGTTTCATCACAACTATAATTAACAGATTGTAATATACGATATTAAATCAGTATAGCTCCATACTTTTATGGATCATTTTCTCATCTTTTAGGTGATTTGTCCATGGGGGACCTACAAGATCCTTTCCTAGTTTCTATCCACATCATCACTGACCCCGGTCAGGCCAAAACGCTCCAGCAAGCCGCTGATCAGGTCCTCTCCTGGCTCCACCCTGATCTCACCCTCTTCAGGGTATCAGAACGGGCAGGTGGTCTCTCTCGAAAGCCCCAGGTCCGCCTGCAGCGCGTCACCGAACCACCATCGCACCAGCCAGCCTTGGCTGTAATCCTGTTTCTACAGGATGAATATGGAGGTGAAGAGAGTCTTGAACGTCTCCACAATCAGCTGAGATGCCCACCGTGGCGATACCACCACACAGAGCGGGTGAACGGGCGAGGCCTCTTACCATTTTCTGCAGCCAGCCAGGACTTTGTTACACTTGCACCAGGCACACCACTATGGGCACTTCGCCAGGTGCACTACGGCAAAGAAATTGTGCGCTTTACAGTCTATTGTCGCTACGAGACCTACACCGAACAGGTGCGTCTGTACAGGCTGCTCCTGTGCCGAAGGCTAGCCCAGAAGAAGGAGGATTTTTGCTTCTGTGTAGTTTACTCCAACCCTGAAACAGAAATCCAGCTGTCATTCAAGCGGATGCCCCATGGCCAGAACCCCGTCCCCACTGAAAATGCTGTGATGGAGATCAGAGTGAGGGATGTCGGTGAACTTGTGCCACTGCTGCCATGTCCCTGCATGCCTATCAGCGACGTCCGCTGGCAAACAAATGATTATGACGGGAATAAAATATTGCTACAGGTAAGACAGAGAATATATTATTAGATAATATATCTCAAAACAATGCCTTTTTGTACACTCTAAAAAATGCTGGGTTGTTTCAACCCAATGTTGGGTCAAATATGGACTAACCCAACTGTTGGGTTAAAAAGTTAATTTAAAAATGTAACCAAAATTTAACCCAACAGTTGGGTTAGTCCATATTTGACCCAACATTGGGTTGAAACAACCCAGCATTTTTTAGAGTGTATATATATATGACGTCTTAAACATTGACATCTCATATACACTGTTCACGAAAGTTCTTTTAGTGAACTGTCCGCAGTAACCCTAGTGTTCTAAAGTGTGTGAGTATTGTAATAATAAGAGTTCATAAAGTTGCAGTATATATATTTTACATAATAATTATATGAACTCTTAATAAATGAGTCTACATGGAATATTTGTGCTAAATAATTTTCACACACCACAGGACAGTTAGTGAAGGTAAAAATGTGAATAAAATGTAAAAAAAAATATAATGCACTTTTCCATATACATTTTAATATATTTTAATATTCATATGTATTATTCATGCATGATAACCTAAATTTGTAATGTTGGATTAAAAAGCACAATATGTTATGCATCAACTGCCAATACACCTTTTGAAACCTTTTACTATTAAAAAAAAACTTTGCAAACTTGTGATGAGTTTTTGCAAATTAATTAGTACTAACTAGGTAACAATAGCCAAATTAGGTTAACATGGGACGTGGTAGTGTTAGACTACAAAATCAGTTATCCTAGACTAATTTCATTACATTATTCATTTTCTATGGGATGGAGTAGTTCATTCATAATTTTGAACCTTGTCTTATCTTTAGATTTTCTTATATATACTTTTAATTTTGAATGATGTATTGTGATTCATCATTCAGTTGCTTTGGTTCAAGGCTTAGGGCTCTTTATTCAGAAATGTTATTTCATGCCTATGGAGAAAAATGAGGAAAATGCTTCCATAACTCAGGTCCCTGAAATCACATTTGAGCTCTGTAATGATGCTCTGCAAGCGGCGTTGTGAATCAGTTTTTCATTACTAGTTGTCTCTGCAGAAATTACCTTCAGAGAGCAGCTCATATTCTCTTGCTGTGGCGTCCTGAGGGTGTTTTGGTAGAAACCAAACAAACCAACATTTAAAAAAAAGTGAATCATTGCGACCTTCTCTTCCTGTTACTTAGCTACTGTAGAAAACAAATGCTGCTAGTAACTACACTGATGAAACAAATGTACCACAGTTTTGAGCCAAATTGATACTGAGCTCAGGTTCAGACCAGGCAACTGAACAGAGCATTACTGCTTAAACACCCTGCTGAGTTGCATACAGGGAAAAAAATGGTATGCAAACACCAAGGCACTGCATAAATTGTACACATTGATTTTTTAAAATGTGTCCTGGTTCAGATCCAAACACCTCTGGCCTTTTGTGTTTGTGTGTTTGTGTGGAAAGACTGTACTCAATGTAAAAATACTCAAACAAACCTAAAAACAGCCAAATTAACTAATGCACAAGCACATACAGGTCAATTCTGCCTGACCTGGATTAGCTGCGATCAAAGCAGGTTTGGCTCTCTGTCACAACTACAGCCTCATTACTAATCAACCCCTGCTGGTGCCAAATGGCACAGAGAGGATTTCACACATAATACACATTATGTCTCGAATGAAAAAAAAAAAAAAAAGCTGAACTGGTTGTACATACAGACATATAGACAAGCTGAGTGTGAGTGTCAGAAATTTCCATACAGGGAAATATATACTATTTTGAGGGAGATATAGTAAATACGGAATGAATATAATGGCATGTAATGAGAGAAATGTATGAATGTGGAAAACGTGGGAAATCTGTGAGTGGAACAGTGAGGAAGAAGGGCACAAAGAGGCTCAAAGATGGATGGAAAACCAAATAAAGCAACAGAGGAAAATGATCGAGGGAGAGGTAGAGGGATGGACGGAATGTGCAGTGAGGTGTGAAGCAGAAAACAGTGGAACTTTGTTACTCTAATGCACACACACTCAACAATGCTTGCTAAGTTTAAAGATACATTTTCCTCTCTCTCTCTCACTCTTCTCTCACACACACGCACAGGTATACAGACTAGTTACCTTATCAAAGCCACATTCCCACATTGCTTTGTTTGGCATTTGCAGGAACATGGTTCCCTTTCCCAAGCTATTTTTGTTTAATGTCAAACTATTTTGACAGCTCACTGCAGATATGTTGTTCATCATATTGCCATGTGAACAGTTCAAGATTTAAAGCAGCTGGTTCTTAACTTGTTTTGCCTTAAGATCAGATTTTATATTGACATAGATTGTCAAATGGCAACCAAATATGTATTATACATAAGCTTACCAAAATATCCTTAATATCACACGTTGAGGTTTACTGTTACAGGTTTTGCTGTATTTTCGATCAAATAAATGCAGTCTTAATAACCATTATCTTTTTAAAAAATTGTACACATTACAAACTTCTGAATGGTAATGTTTGTGTAGATTTTATTATCAATATAGTACTTTAAATAAAAGGTCCCACTTAATATATTAGGTGGCCTTTACTATGTACTTACATCAAAAAATAAGTACAATATACTTATTGTGTTCATATTGTATTGCAAAACACTTTTGTTGCTTGTTTGATGGTATGGGAAGGTTTTAAGGTGGGTAAAAATAAGTACAATGTACTTATTGTGGTCATATTGTATTGCAAAACACTTTTGCTTCTATTGAGGTGGGATACGGGTAAGGTTAGGGACAGGTTTGGTGGTATGGGTAGGTTTAAGGTGGGTTAAGGTGTAAGGGATGGGTCAACAGTGTAATTATAAATGTAATTACAGAAATTAATTGCAGATGTGATCACATGCAGGTATTTTTTAAATATATGTACAGTGTAAAAACATGTATGTACACAATAAGTGCATTGCATCGAATGATTAATTTAAATGTAAGTACATAGTAGTTAAGGCCACCCTTATTTGGGACCAAATAAAAATAGGTACTAGGATCTGCAAAAATGGTGTCCTGAACATATTAATTGCACATAATTTCATGCTCTCGTTTTGACTTTGTCAGGTTCAAGGTTCACGGTATTACCGCAAGCACACTATTGCGAAGTTCTGTCACCTTCCTCCTGATGATCCTCCATTTACCTCCCCTCCTCCACCCGAGCTGCCCCCTCCACCTCCTCCACCATACGGCCGCGGGCCCGCCTCCTATCGAAATCGCCGTTATCACCGGAACTCATCGCGTTCGCGGACGCAGACCCTTCCGTCTCCGGTCGCCTCCAGGACACCCACGTTGTGCGATCAGGAAGGCCGCATGGAGAGGCTCCAGAGGGATGTGGAGCTCTTACGGGCCGGATGGACAGGCCACCGCACACAGTCCCTCTTTTCTCTGCCTACAGACGAGTCCCGCTCCTCGTGTGCCTCTCCGTCAAGCTTCCGTCCTCGCTGCTTCTCTTCAATGGCTGCTCCAATTTTCCGTGTCAATGTCGATACGCTAGTGGGAGCCGAAGAGACGGATGTGGACACGGGACAGACCATCAGCGGCAGCTCTGTGGACCTATCGGTGGTCTCGGGTTATTCCCATCCACAGCTGAGGCCCCATTTAAAGGTCCCAGCACTGCGGCCCAAGTCTGCTCCTCCAACAGATGGAGGTCTTGACTTTGCTGATCTGACCTATAATAATGCCTCCTCCATAAGACAGACTCCTGTGCCGTCTAGAGCACAGAGCATCTCTGCAAAATCCACACCTTGTGTTGTACACAAACCACAGCCAAAGAATATGAAAGATGTGTTGCAGGACAAAGGGCAGCAGAACAGCAATGGCATTGTGACAGTAGATGATTGTAGTCAAGAAGGCATTGCGGAGGAAGAGCAAGAATTTTATATCTGACACATGCAGGACAATCATCTCATCAGCATGTATGCGGGTCTTAAAGAGGGAATTTTGAGATCTTCTATAATTGCAAGCAGCTGAGTATTAAAATGTGGAAAACCCTTAAACGGATGTTCACCCAAAAATGAAAATTCTTTCATGATTAACTCGCTCTCATATTGTTCTAAACTCGTAAGACTCACGTGAAACACAAAATTAAGACATTTTAATGAAACCTGAGATGGTTAATTGAAAGTCCAGGTAATCAAAACTTCAGGTCATAAAGGTGTTGACAAATAATTGCAGTTTAATAAGTCTTGTGAAGAGGTAAGGTCACTTTATATGAACAGATTTAATTAGGCATTTATTCACATGAAAACACATGGTAAACATTTAAGCTCAAATATGTGCACACACATGTGCATTGACTTTCAATGGAGGGACAGAAACATAGGTTTAATTCAAATATCAAAATTTGTGTTCCGAAACGGGTTTGGAAGGACAAGAGGGTGGGTCAAGGATGACAGAATTTTTTTGGTGAACTATATTTAAGCTTTTGTTCTATAGTGCATTTGTTTGATTAGCAACAGGCCATGCTTAAGAATGTGCATTCATAATGAATGACTTTAAGACTGAATCAAATTGACTTGTGTTTGTTGTATGTTGTGGTATTCTGTAGTGTTTCATAATAGTTGTAATAACAAAAGGGCTTCATTGCTTATGTCAGAGAGCTCAGTGAAGAATAAAACTCTGTCACCTAGTGGTTGAACATGGTAACTACACAGGGGCTAGACCCTTGAGTCATGAGGCAGGTCACTCATTATTAGAGAAAATATTGAAATCTCCACAGTTTGTACAGTTTCACTATTTGTTCCGTGTAAGAGTTTAAGAAAATTTTGTGTTTCTGACCTTGTGTAATGCTTTACATTATCACACGTTTTAAATTATATGTAAATATTTTGTTTTAATGACCTCTCAGTGACAGATGTCAGTGCCCTGTGCAAAACATCACTGATTATATGGATAGACAAGAAAATAATCAAGGAACTCATTAGTGTCTGCGTTTACAAATATAAAATTATGGTGTGAATTACTTGCTGTTGATGTTGTAAAAATAAAACCCAAATAATTATTATGGTTACTATAGGGGTTAGCAGCTGTTTCTCTGAGGAAAAATAAATAAATAAATAATGAATTGTGGGAAGTCGCATACTTTTAAAACAATTGGTCCCTGGGTCGTGTTATAAATTGTTGAGAAATTCTTTATCCAAGTGCATTGCATCTTGTGCATAATGTTGCCAATATGCTCACAAGTCTTACACTTCATTGTAAAGTAATATGCAGACTTGTTAATCAAACCATTACTATCAGTTACCTATATAAATCTTACAATTCTTTTCAAATCTTGGTTCAGTTTAGAGTCAAAGGTCAGAGATGTTCATGTTTCATTACAATCATGTAACACGAACACATACAGGACAGCCCTTGTGAGTTGCCCCTCTCTCAGTGCCAGATCACTCCCCATGCGTTCCCAGCTAATCCCAGGAGTGTACCTGGCACATCGCTACGGCGATACCGCCTCTCAGTGCTACTGCGCTCCGGCACTGGACTGGGATTCTGTTAATCCGGTCCAGCAGCCAGAGAGGGCAGGAGGGGTGAACGACAGCGAGCACTAGTTCCCTGCTAGACCCCGCTAGAACATAAGTCAGGTCTAATAAAGTCCATTGCTGTGAAGCAACTACCTTACTGACTATTAATATGCAGCAAATTAGGAGTTTATTGAAGCAAAAGTTGTAGTTAATTAGTTAATAGTGAGAAATGGTCTCTAAACTAAAGTGACCAATATTACTTAGCTGAATAACAGTAATTAATTAAAAAATAACAAATATTGTTATTATTGCGTACTATAGCATAAGCAGTACTGCTCACCCTATAATAATAACTTCTACTATTAATGTGTATTTAAAGACATTTATTAATATTTGTAACAGTAATGATGCATATTATTAGCAGTTATTAGTATTCATATTAATAATAATAATGACTGTTATTAATAGGAATAGTAATAGTCATTAATTAAAAAATAAAAAATATTATTATTATTGCATACTATAGCATAAGTAGTACTGCTCACCCTATTAATAATAATAATTACTACTAAGTTAATAATAATTACTATTATTTATAGGAATAGGAATAGTAATTGATAAAAAAAATAGAATTATTATTGCATACTATAGCATAAGTAGTACTGCTCACCCTATTAATAATAATAATAACTACTATTAATGTGTATTACACATGTATTAATATTTATAACAGTAATGATGTATATTATTAGCAATTATTAGTATTCATACTCACCTTATATTAATAATTACTACTAATAAGGTGGTAATAATAATAATAATAATTATTATTATTATTATTACAACCATCACCATCATGACACTAATATATTAAATTATTATCATATAATGCAATCCACTACATACTTAATTGTGAGAATGTAATTCTGAACCTGGAGTAGTATGTCGAGGCAGTGAATGTCACACACCCTGATAGACTTTTTCCACTTAGAACGGTCCAGTTGTTTTAGACATATTTTTAAATCTTTAAATGTTTTAGTTCATCAATATTTGACCCATTAAAGGACTTTCTGTATTCAAAGTATGTTTGCGTACCAACTTTTAAATATCTGACCTCAAGATGAAAGAGGAGTTGTTTACTTTGGACGGCATTCCTTTGGGTGCATTGTCTTTGCCCAAGTGACCGTGACTTTCCCATCATCATTTCCCTTCTTAAAAATTCAAATGCCATGGATGGAATACTGGAATTAAAAAGTCTTTTCCAGTCTTCTCCACTGATTGCTGCCAAGTTGGTTCTACTAATTAACATGCCTTCTGCTGGGCACCGTCCAAATACCTGATGCTTACTGATCATTTCCCGCTAGCAGTTTACCATGAGAAAAATGTCTCTTCAATCCATTAGGGTCATTTGTGGAAACTCCACTAACAGTGGAGATCTGACTTTGACAATGTATAACAGTTGTTTAAAATAAATATTCGGTAACACTTTAGTATAGGGATAAATTCTCAGTATTAACTTGTTGCTTATTAGCATGCCTATTATTAACAAAAGCTATTGGATGTTTATTAGCACTTATAAAGCACATATTCTGCATGACCATACTCTACATCCCAAATCCAATACCTAAACTTAACAACTATCTTACTAACTATTATTAAGCCGCAAATTAGGAGTTTACTGAGGCAAAAGTCGCAGTTAATGGTGAGAATTGAACCTTAAAATAAAGTGTGACCAAATGTTCTTTTGTTTCTTGCTTCATTAAACAATCCTGAAAAAAAAATCACAATTTCCGAAAAAATATTAAGTAGCACATCCATCAAACATGATGATAATAATAATAATAATAATAAAAATCTTGAGTACCAAATCAATATATTAGAATAATTTCTGAAGGATCATGTGACACTGAAGACTGAAAATTAGCCTTAAAACATAAATTATATGTTTAAATATATTAAAAAAAGAAAACATAATTTGACATTTTAGTAATATTTCACAATATTGCTGTTTTGCTTTGTTTTGTTCAAATACATGCAGCTTGGTGAGTATAACACTTCTTTCAATCAATCAATCAATCAATCAATAATTATAGTGTATAGAGATGTTAACAGTTTGGTAAAGCTTGTGTAATGACTTCCTCTCTCTATTATGTGTGTGTGTGTGTGTGTGTGTGTGTGTGTGTGTGTGTGTGTGTGTGTGTGTGTGTGTGTGTGCGGCTGGATTTGCTGGTCGAGCGCATGCCTCCCTCTGCCTGGCTCCTTATAGTGCCGGGCGGGAGGCAGGAATTCTGACCGAGTGGTACGGACATCGCCGCCGGAGACCACAAACACGAAGCTCTCCCTTTAAACAAGGTCTCATGATCGACAACTCTATCAATCAGTTGTCCTGGCGTGGAGGATCAGGGAGAACGCACGTCCTCCTGGAGTGACAGTGATAGTGGAGCTGAACATCAGGAGCAGCTGACACTCACCCAATCCAGAGGACGAGCCGGCAGGTAAGAAGTTCCTAAATATTTGAATTCTGTCATGCATTTTAATAATACAATTTGGTTTTTAATAATTTTTTAATGATACTATATAAGAAGTAAGAAGTTCTTAAATATTTTAATTCAATCATACATTTTAATTATATTTTGTTTTTAATTATTTTTAATTATACTATATATTTTTAATTTTATATTTTAATTATAGGCCTATTTTGATCAATATCAATGTAAAACTATAAATGTAGCAAGCATTTCTGTTAAGAAGTTTAATTTCATTATTTTCTTATTGTGATTTACACCGCTTCATGTTGCATTAATATTAGATATATGGAGGCTGTGGCATAGTTCACCCAAAACTGAAAATTCTGTCATCATTGTTTTAAACATAACATCAGATAAACATAAAAGAAGATATTTTGTGAAATGTCTCAGTGTTTTTTTTTTATTTTTATTTTTTATCCATACAATGGAAATCAATGGTCACCAAAACTATTTGGTTACCAACATGCTTCAAAATATTTTATTTTGTGTTCCACAGAAGAAAGTATGACTTACAGGTTTGGAATGATATGAGGGTGAGTAAATGATGACAGATTTTTATTTTTTTGGTAAATTATCCTTTCATTTTTTAACATTCATTCAGAATAGAGGCCACACATCAGTGCAATTAAGATGCTAATCTTAAAAATGAATCAAATCTATTATAAAGATTAACCAACTTTATCCTTGCTTGCAAAAGTTGTGCTGCTGAAAAGTGGGTGATAGTTGTATTATTTTTTTACTGAATCAACATTGTTGGTTACACCAACAAAAGTAGGTTATCTTTAATAGATATCAAATACATTATATGTGACCCTGGACCAAAAAAACAGTCATAAGGGTCAATTTCTCGAAATTGAGATTTATACATCACATGAAAGCTGAATAGATAAGCTTTCCATTGATGTGTGGTTTGTTAGGATAGGACAATATTTGGTCGAGATATAAAAATATACCCCAGCGATTTAAGACTGGTTTTGTGGTCCAGGGTCACATATATATTTTATTATTTCAACTTGTAACCAAATCCATGATTCATTTTTGAGTTGTTCTGGAAAACATTTGCAGATTTTGACCTGTTGATCATGCATCAGCTGTCTGTGACTTGCCTGTTGCTCTGTCTGTGGCTGCTGGAGCGCTGCCATGGCAACAGCCACAATGATCTACACACACAGTTTGGCATCAGCCTCTACCAAACACTCACAGAGACGGAGAACAACTCCAACCTGATCGTGTCCCCAGCCAGCGTCTCGTTGAGTCTGGGTCTTCTGCAGCTCGGTGCCAGGGGAAACACTCTAGCACAACTTGAGGAAGCTCTGGGATATGATGTGAATGGTAAAAGGAAATTAGCGGCACACCTGTAATCTGTATGTTGTTTTCCTAAATAGTTCAAAATATAAATCAGCTGTCTGACAACCTGCCTACCTGCCATTGTCCAGTGCTTGAAAAGTTAACATGACAGTTTTGATGATACAATGGTCTCCTCGCAGATGCTCGAGTGCAGGACATTCTGTCTCGGCCACAAGGAGACCTGGGTAATTCCAGTGACGGGGTGCGGCTTCAGCTTGCCAATGCCTTATTTGTCCAGAGTGGTGTGAAACTCCTGCCAGAATTTACCCAGCATGCCTTGGGATGGGGTAACAGTAGTCTACTGAGTGTAAACTTCAGTAATCCAAACCACACTCATAGTCGGCTACAGCAATGGACACGTTCCCAGAGTAAAGGTGAGCTTATATTGACTAATAGTAAATGAAGTTTCCCTAAAACCACCACATATTCATCATTTATATTTAGATTGTCTCCAATGTCATTTTAAGTGATGGATATATACAGTATATGGCTTACAAAAACATATATAAATATACACAAACATAAATATAAATTTTTATAGTGTTAATTATGTAAATACTGTACATATGATGTAAAATGAAATACTGATTTGAATTTGTATATTATTATGATTTTAAAATATAATTATGTATTATTAAATATTGATTAGAAAAAAAAAAATATATATATATATATATATATTAAATGTACTTATGTAAATATATGTTAAAATTAGATATG